TAAAATGGAAGAACAAGCTAAGAGTGGAGGAGATATGCTTATAGTATAGACATATGACACAGTCCAGATGGTAATATTTTATAGTAGTTTGATGAGGAGTGATTTTTATATTCCTGTTTTTAAAAATACATAGCAATCAGTTTAATATGCCAAATATACCAAAATGTCATCATTTACTGTGTGGTGGATTCATATGATGGAGATGACAAATAGAAATTCTAATTTATACTAAGCATATATTACTTTCTGGCTGAGGTAGGAAAACAATTAGGAAGAAATGAAGAGATCATTCTGTAAACATCCTAATTTTTCCCAGCCAAAAAGAGATTTCATATATTTATTTTTTTGTTTACCTTCTGTTTCCTACCTGAGAAGATTTCATATTTCCAGTAGCCATCTGTGTACCTATTTAAAGACAATACCAAAGGCATACATCTTAGCGTTCAGAGGAGCAAGGGTCACTTGATGTTTGATGCTTATTGGCCATTCTAGGATGACAAGACACCTCGGGAACACACACACACACACACACACACACTCCACCCCACCCCACCCCTCCCTGAAGAAAGCTGTGATGGAAGAAAGCAGAAAGGAAACTGGATTGAGTTGTTACTTAAAATGTTAGTGTTGGATGCAATGTGCTAACAGGAAGATTTGAGGAAACTGCATACATTTACTAGATGGCAAAGTATTACTGGTGACAGTTAACGAAAATGTATGTGCATGTGTTTTTGGATTTACAAATTAAATTTTACTAAGAGCTTTTAAAAAACCCCTGGAGGTTTATCAAAAGTTTATCATGCTTATGCCGTAGAGTAGCACTTTCTAACTTTAAAACAGGGAATAATTCTTTGGATCTTGATTATTGTTAAAGGGAATTATGAATTGCAACTATAAAACTATGGTTTTAAAATATGTGTGCTTTATTTTTATGTAGCAGATTTACTCCTAGTTAATAATACTCAAACGTCTTGAAATCCAAGGTCATTAAGATAATTCTGTCCTGATGGGAAGAGGAAATATAACTTTAGTGTGAAATCTATTATATATTAGTTGTGTCAAGGTTTTTGCCATTGACTTTGACAGGAGACATTTATAGGGTTAAAAGCAGAAATAGCAAGATGAATTTTGAAGTATCCTTTATAAATTATGTAGTTGGAAAGAGTATCATGTTCATATTGCCAAAATATAAGATGCATGGATGCATCAGACTGAATGGAAAATACATGAGAGGTTGGCCAGTCCCCTCTTTGTCAGAACATCACTTGGTGATGGTAAAGCTGTCGGAACACACAGTATTCTAATGTAGCCTGTAGCTTAATGATCATCTGTCTTGAAACATTTAGTGTAGAACTTTGACAAACCTAGATGCCATAATGTACTGCACACCTAGCCTATGTGGTATAGTCTGTTGTTCCTAGGCTGTAAACCTGTACAGCATGTTACTGTAGGCAGTTGAAACAGTGGTATTTGTGTATCCTTTTTTTTTTTTTTTTTTTTTTTTTTTTAAGAGACAGGGTCTTGCTTGTTGCCCAGGCTGGATACAGTGGCGTGATCATAGCTCACTGTAACCTTGAACTCCTAGGATCAGTGATCCTCCTTGCCTAAGCCTCCCGAGTGGTTAGGACTACAGGCACAAACTACCACACCTGGCTAGTTTTTAAAATTTTGTTGTAGAGATGGAATTTCACTGTATTGCCCAATCTGGACTTGGAACTCTTGTGCTGCAGCAGTCCATCCACCTCCCAACATGCTGGAATTATAAGCCACTTCACCTGGATTGTTTGCGTAAACATAGAAAAGATCTAGTAAAAATACAGAATTACAATCTTACAGGGCCACTGTAGGATATGCAGTCCATCTTGAGTGAAATGTCATTATGTGGTGTATGATTGTGCTTCATAATTTTTAAGCACTCCTGCCTCTTGATTGGTACTTAGTGGATTTTTATCGTTTTTCTTTCTTGATAAGTCTTTCTGAAATGCCTACTAGTTGGACCTTTGAACTCCTGAATTGATTATTATTTATTCTCTTGTATTTTTTGTACTCTAGGAAGTTTTCTCAACTTTAGTTTCTATTCAGTTTTCTTATTATTTATTCTCTTCAGTCTTTATGGAGATACTAAATTGTTCTGTTTCACTCTCTACCACACTCCTAAAAGTTTCATCTCAGTTTCTATGCAGTTAATTTTTCTGTTGCTTTTTAAAAAACATTTTCCTGAAGTGATTGGTAAGTTTTGGCTAATTGGGAGCGCTAGAATTGGGACCTTAATGGTTGGCAGGGTGTGGTGGAGGAGATGCCAGCCTTAGTCTGAAGGCTCAGGGCAGAAAAAGGAGGAGGAAGGCTTTCCTTTTTGTTTCTGGAGCAGTGTTCTGCCCTAGTTCTTGCTGGGCAATCTGTTTGATTTCTTTAGTGGTTAATGCTCAGATTTTTAGTATATTTGGATCTGCCTCCAGAGCAGGTACGGGGTGAGAGGGACTTTGCTGTTACCTAATTAGATCCCCATTTCTACCCTTTGTTGAAGAGCAAGATGAATTTTTATTCATGTTGCATAAATTTTAAAGGCTAAAAAATAATATATGTAATGTTGGGAGGTCCCAGTGTACAAATGGCTGTTGTAAATTTGGAACATGAACTTGATTTTTTCCATTCTAAAAATGAAATCATTATAAATCATGGTCAGCTTACTAGGTCAGCCTGTACAGAGTTTACCCAGTATTGTGGGTAAGTGTTTTTTCTTTGCAGCAACAACAAGGGAAAACAGTTGTGTAAAGTTCTTGGAAGCCGATGTATCAAAGCACTTCTTAAATAGCTATATAGCACATAGACATGACCAGTTGGTTTCTGAGTCTGTTGGCATTGGCCAAAGCACAAGTTGGTGTAGAACATGTTTTGAGTCTCCTTTTGCAGAAATATATTGCAGGTCGGAGTGGGGAGCCAATGTTTTGGAAGGGTGGCTAAGTAGTTAAATAGCCACTCTTAAAGACAGGCAATAGAAAGCAGCTAAGGTCGGGCGTGGTAGCTCACATCTGTAATCCTAGGACTTTGGGAGGTCAAGACAGGAGGATTACTTGAGACCAGGAGTTCTGAGACCAGCCTGGGCACCACAGTGAGACCCCATGTCCACCAAAAAAAAAAGAAGAAAAAAACTAGGCCTGGTGGCACAGGCATGTAGTCCCAGCTACTCCAGAGGCTGAGGTGGGTGGGAGAATTGCATTAGCTTAGGAGTTCAAGGCTGTAGCGTTCTATGATCATGCCACGGCACTCCAGCCTAGGTGACAGGGCAAGACCCTGTCTGAAAACAAATAGACGCTAAAACAGCCTCAGTGTGCAGAGAATAGGGTGCCTTCCAGCATAGTATTTTCAAAGTGTGGTCTGCAGATAACTTGCCTGCATCCTAGAATGCTCATTAAAAATGGAGATTCCTATGCTTCACTCCAGTCCTATTAAAGCAAAACATGAAACACACAATCCTGCTTAGCAAATTATCCTAAAATAGAAGATTCTCAAGGACCGAATCACCTTTACTATTTCCTGTCCTTCATTTCGCATCGTATGTAAATTGTCAGTTGTTTCCACCATGGACACTGAACAACTGTCTGCAACTCTTGTCAGCTGTAGATGTCAAATGATCCTGGTGATTGTCAAAATCGAGTAATGGAAGCACAGTGTTAGAAATAATAAACACATACTCTTTTACATAGAGAAAATAGGACACAGTAAGGAGCTTCCTTCTTCATTAAACATTGACACGTCGCATTCATTGAAAACAAAGTCTGGACGTAGTCGCTCACGCCTATAATCCTAGCACTTTGGTAGGCTGAGGCGGGCGGATCACCTGAGGTTAGGCATTTGAGACCAGCCTCACCAACGTGGGGAAATCACGTCTCTACTAAAAATACAAAAATGAGCAGGACGTGGTGGCGGGTACCTGCAGTCCCAGCTACTGGGGAGGCTGAAACAGGAGAATCACTTGAAGCTGGGAGGCAGAGGTTGCAGTGAGCCGAGGTTACACCACTGTACTCCAGCCTGGGGAACATACCAAAACTGTCTTCAGGAAAAAATAAAAGAAAAACACAGATCACACTTAGATATTTTATTCCATATCTTTACATACCCAGTATGTTTGTAGTTCAAGATGAATTTGTTTGGGACAGATTCTGTAATAAAGGAAATTTTGTTATTAGAAATACCTAGAGGCCTGTAAGTCCTTAAACTGTTCTCATTTGCAAATAGTTTCCTGTGTGAGGCAGTGTTTTTTTCTGAATGTTGCATAATAAAGTAAAAATACATACATTAGATGTTAAGATTTATATATATGATATTAATCAAAATAATACCTATCCCTGTTGGTGGTAACTGTATTTATAATAAATCATTGCTGTAAATTTGAACTTAGAAAAATTTCACTCATAAAGGTGCTTTTGTATTGCAAACTTTCATTTGAAAATTAATTTTTCTTTGTACTAAAAATCTTAAAATTTACCAGTCATCAAAGTTTGCTTTACGAGAAATAATTTTTGATGGCACTATATCAGCAAAGAAAACAACTAACTTGTTAATGAAAATGTGGTGTTTTAAAAATCCCTTTGGACCTCTGTTATCCAAAGGGGGATCTGTGAATTTTTCCCTGAAAGGTTGCAAAAGGAGAGACCTTTAGGAATTCAGAGAGCAGCTGATTTTTGAATAGTTTTTTCCCCTTCCCTAGATTTTATTATTATCTCATCACCATCCTGAATATCTGTAACTTAAATTTCTGCTGTTAATAAAAAGACATGTTTGGTAAGGAGGAGTTTTCACTGAAGTTCAGCAGTGATGGAGCAGTGGTTGAGGTGTCTGGAGGAGACCTTGAGGTCTGCATTTCACTAAATAACCTGGTAAATGAGGACATGGGGTGTTTTTATGGGCGTAGTAATGACATTTAACCGGTATCCCAGTGAATTAGGAGTATCAATCAAACTAGATTTAAATCCTAATGACTTTTGATTAACTTTTTTTAGGGTATCTGAAGTATACCATACAACTGTTTTGAAAATCCAGCGTGGACAATGGCCACTCAAGGTTTGTGTCGTCAATCTTTCGTTACTGAATTGGGGCTCTGCTTCGTTGCCATTAAGCCAGTCTGGCTGAGATCCCCCTGCTTTCCTCTCTCCCTGCTTACTTGTCAGGCTACCTTTTGCTCCATTTTCTGCTCACTCCTCCTAATGGCTTGGTGAAATAGCAAACAAGCCACCAGCAGGAATCTAGTCTGGATGACTGCTTCTGGACCCTGGATACAGTACCATTCTTCCACTGATTCAGTGAGTAACTGTTAGGTGGTCCCCAAAGGGCTTAGGTATTTCATCACTGAGCTAACCCTGGCTGTCATTCTGCTTTTCTTGGCTGTTTTTCAGATTTGACTTTATTTCTAAAAATATTTCAATGGGTCATATCACAGATTCATTTTTTAAAAATTAAAGCAACAGTTCCAATGTACTAATGGCAATACTGTTTCATATTTATAGCTGATTTGATGGAGTTGGACATGGCCATGGAACCAGACAGAAAAGCAGCTGTTAGTCACTGGCAGCAACAGTCCTACCTGGACTCTGGAATCCATTCTGGCGCCACTACCACAGCTCCTTCTCTGAGTGGTAAAGGCAATCCTGAGGAAGAGGATGTGGATACCTCCCAAGTCCTATATGAGTGGGAACAGGGGTTTTCTCAGTCCTTCACTCAAGAACAAGTAGCTGGTACAGTATTATTTTTCATTACCTTACTGAAAGTCAGAATGCAGTTTTGAGAACTAAATAGTGAATTTAGTGTATCATAGTTTAAATAAAATGTTGTGGTGAAGAAAAGGGAGTACTTGCAATGTTGCTTTTACCATTTAGGATAGCAGATACTTAGATAAATGCTGAACTATGGATAGTGAGTGTTGATTTAACCTTTTCCAGATATTGATGGACAGTATGCAATGACTCGAGCTCAGAGGGTACGAGCCGCTATGTTCCCGGAGACACTAGATGAGGGCATGCAGATCCCATCTACACAGTTTGATGCTGCTCACCCCACCAATGTCCAGCGTTTGGCTGAACCGTCACAGATGCTGAAACATGCCGTTGTAAACTTGATCAACTATCAGGATGATGCAGAACTTGCCACACGCGCAATCCCCGAACTCACAAAACTGCTCAATGATGAGGACCAGGTGAGCAGTGACATGGCTACCTTTTTAGTCTGCTTCAAAGGAAATGCTCAAAAGGAGTAGTTTCAGAATGTCCACCCAATACCAGTACTGGAAAACTAACGATGTTTCTTAATTCCTTTATTATAGGTGGTGGTGAATAAGGCTGCAGTTATGGTCCATCAGCTTTCTAAAAAGGAAGCTTCCAGACACGCTATCATGCGTTCTCCTCAGATGGTGTCTGCTATTGTACGTACCATGCAGAATACAAATGATGTAGAAACAGCTCGTTGTACTGCTGGGACCTTGCATAACCTTTCCCATCATCGGGAGGGCTTGCTGGCCATCTTTAAATCTGGAGGCATTCCTGCCCTGGTGAAAATGCTTGGGTAAGAAAACATTGTCAGAATGCTTGAAGCTAAAAAGTAGAAGAGTATAGTCATAGTATTTCTCATGAGGCTTGTTTCTTCTTCCCAGTTCACCAGTGGATTCTGTGTTGTTTTATGCCATTACAACTCTCCACAACCTTTTGTTACACCAAGAAGGAGCCAAAATGGCAGTGCGTTTAGCTGGCGGGCTGCAGAAAATGGTTGCCTTGCTCAACAAAACAAATGTTAAATTCTTGGCTATTACGACAGACTGCCTTCAAATTTTAGCTTATGGCAACCAAGAAAGCAAGGTAAGAGAATTGTTCTTTATGTGGTTTTCATGGAGCATCAGGGACTGACAGTGTCATATCATTCCATGCAGTGTTCCTAACCTTTTTGGCATCAGACACCAGTTTCGTGGAAAACATTTTTTCCATGAATGAGGTTGTGGGGATGGTTTCTGGATGATACTGTTCCACCTCAGATCATCAGGCACTAGATTCTCATAAGGAGCATGCAGCCTAGATCTCTCACATGTGCAATTCACACTGGGGTTTCCACTCCTACAAGACTTTCATGCTGCAGCTGATCTCACGGGAGGTGGAGCTCAAGCTGGCTAATGCTCACTCACCTCCTGCTATGCAGCCCAACTCATTTCTATTTAAAATCTTTGAGTTTTCATATGTAAAGCACTGTGCTAAGTCGTAGGGATATGATAGGCAAGCTTCTCTTCACACTTTTGTTCTAAGGTGGGATGTAGATGCTGAGAATAATAACCTAATTAATATTTAATTTATGTAGTGGGAAGAAGTGGGGCTATGAGAACACATAACAAGTGAAACAGGCCCTCTTTTTCAGGGTTCAAGGAGGCCTCTTGGAGGAAGTGATAGTTGAGTTCAGTGTTCAAGAATGAGAAGGGATTCACTAGGTGAAGGTTAGGTAAGAAAACAGCATCTTTGAAATGAAGGAAGGAGATGGAAAGTTTTGAGAATTTAAGAAATACTAATGAGGAAGGAGGAAGAAAGGCTTGAGGTGAGGCTATTGAGATAGACTCAGCAGATCTCATAGGGCTTCGTAGAACATGTTTAAAAGCACAATAGGAAATTTCAGAATCATGAAATGAAATTTGTTTTTAGAGAATTGGGACAGTGTCAAGAGGGAGGATATATAGGGAATGAAAGGGCAAGAGTGAATGATCCTTTTATAATATCTGTTTTTAAGGTGGATATAATTAGGAAAATTAAAAGGGCCAATTGATTAGGAGTTTTAAGTACCAGTTCTGGTTCAGATTTCAGTGAGTCAGTTTTGAGGGCATTACTGTTGCATACCAACATGGTTTCTAAATTTTTTTTTGTTTTTCTATGAGCAGTATGGGAAGAAGGAAATTGGACCAAAACTGATAACATTCTTGGGAGGACTGGGATGTCTGAATTTGAGTGGAATGCTTTAAAGGGACAAATTGAATAGGGCCCCAGTGTGGGGATCTGAGTGATGGGGTCCAATGGCAAGCTGGCTGAAATTCTTGTGTAATAAAATAGGTTGGTAATACAGCTTTTCTCAGACATTTGATCACGATTTCATGACCAACAGTATATGTACATCTTTCTAGCTGATTATACTGGCCAGTGGTGGACCCCAAGCCTTAGTAAATATAATGAGGACCTACACTTATGAAAAACTACTGTGGACCACAAGCAGAGTGCTGAAGGTGCTATCTGTCTGCTCTAGTAATAAGCCGGCTATTGTAGAAGCTGGTAAGTATATGTATCTGTGTCTGTAGTTCTATTTAGATTACTTTTATTAGAAAAAGGTGATAGCTACCCAGGAGGCTGAGGCAGGAGAATTGCCTGAACCCAGGAGGCGGAGGTTGCGGTGAGCTGAGATCGTGCCATTGCACTCCAGCCTGGGTAACAAAAAAAAAAAAAAAAGAAAGAAAGAAAGAAAAAGGTGATAGTACTTTAACGACTGAAAATAGACGGTCTTAGTTTGCAGCCAAGATTACATTCAGAGTATGTGTCATCAGAGTACAGTAGCTAAATATTTAAGACTAGGTAGAGTTCTTATTATCTATCAGAAATTAATGGCACATATTGTACTTGATAAAATTTGTTTGTAATTTGTTTTGAGTAAACCTGAGATTTGCTAAGAGACCTATGAATTTATAGGAGAAATGACAAATTCTAGTATAGTACAATTTTATGAAGTAAAATGATTGCTTTATTAGTAGATGCTCATGAGCAGTGTGTTTTTTTTTTTTTTTTTAACTTTTAGGTTCATTATATAGGTAAATTGCATGTCACAGGTTTACGTGCAGATTATTTTGTCACCGAGACAATAAGTATTATACCCAATAGGTAGTTTTTCAGTTCTTTATCTCCCACCCTTAAGTAGGCCCCAGTGTCAGTTGTTCCTTTTTTTGTGTCCATGTGTACTCAATGTTTATCTCCCACTTAATAAGTGAGAACATGTGGTATTTGGTTTTCTGTTCCTGTGTTGGTTTGCTTAGGATAATGGCCTCCGGCTCCATCCATGTTGCTGCAGAAGGCATCTTGTTCCTTTTTTATGGCTGCATAGTATTCCATAGTGTATATGTACCACATTTTCTTTATATAGTCTACCATTGATGGGCATTTAGGTTGATTTCCATGTCTTTGCTATTGTGAATAATGCTGCGATGAACATATGTGTGCATGTCTCTTTATGGTAGAAAGATTTCTTTCTCTTTGGGTGTATACCTAACAGGATTGCTGGGTTGAATGGTAATTCTGTCTTAAGCTTTTTGAGAAATCACCAAATTGCTTTCCACAGCGGCTGAACTAATTTACTTCCCACCAGCAGTGTATAAGCATTCTTTCTCTCAGCATCCTTGCCAGCATCTGTTGCTTTTTGACTTATTAGTAGCCATTCTGATTAGTGAGAGACATTATCTCATTGTGGCTTTGATTTGCATTTTTCTAATGATCAGTGATGTTGAGCTTTGCTTCGTAAGCTTGTTGGCCACTTGTATGTCTTCCTTTGAAAAGTGTCTGTTTGTGTCTTTTGTCCACTTTTTAATGGAATTGCTTCTTTTTTGCTTGTTAAGTTTATTGTAAACTCTTGATATTAGACCTTTGTCAGATGCTTAGTTGGCAAATACTTTCTTTCATTCTCTAGGTTGTGTTTACTCTGTTGATTTCTGTTGGTGTTCTGAGCTCTTTCTACTGTCCCATTTGTCAATTTTGGTTTCTGTTGCAGCTGCTCTGGGCATCTTCGTCATGAAATCTTTGCTAGGTCCAATGTCCAGAATGGTATTTCTTAGGTTATCTTCCAGGGTTTTTATAGTTTTAGGTTTTATATTTAAGTCTTTAATCCATTCTGAGTTGATTTTTGTATATGGTAAAAGAAGGGGTACAGTTTCAGTCTTGCATGTGGCTAGCTAGTTATTCCAGCACCATTTCTTGAATAGGGAGCCTTTTCCCCATTGCTTTTGTTGACTTGTTAGGTGTGCGGCCTTATTTCTGGACTCTGTTGTGTTCCATTGGTCTGTGTGTCTGCTTTTATACCAGTAGCATGCTGTGACTGTAATCTTATCTTAATAGTATAGTTTGAAGTGGGGTAAAATGCCTCCAGGTTTGTTCTCTTTGCTCGGGATTGCTTTGGCTATTCAGGCTCTTTATTGGTTTCATATAAATTTTTAAATAGTTTTTTTTTTTTTTTAATTCGGTGAAGAGTGCCATTGGTAGTGTGATAGGAACAGCATTGCACCTGTGAATTGCTTTGGGCAGTGTGGCCATTTAGCAATATTGATTCGTCTTGTCCATGAGCATAGCACGTTTCTTCACTTGTTGGTGTCACCCTGAGTTCTTTGAGCAGTGCTCTGCAATTCTTGTGGCAGAGGTCTTTCACCTCACTGGTTAGCTGTATTTCTAGGTATTTTGTTCTTTTTGTGGCTGTTGTAAATGGGATTGCATTCTTGACTTCAGCTTGCAGCTTGGCTGTGGTTGCTGTATGAACACACTTCTGACTTTATACATTGATTTTTATATCCTGAAACTCTGATGAAGTTTATTGGATCAAGGAGTTTTTAGTCAGAGATTATGGGGTTTTCTAGGTATGGAATCATATTATTTGCAGAGACTTCCTATTTGGGTGCATTTTCTTTCTTTCTCTTGCCTGATTATATGCAGTGTTTAGCCCCGATATTCTGTATTCTCAGTTAATAGATGGTCTAAGTTGGACAAACAGGTTTTTTTCTATTCTAAGTATTTTTTAAGGAGTAAACTTGTATGTGGTAGTTTGTATCTTGTGTATGTTGGCAATTGGGGTAAATAGATGGTTTGTACTAGGGCCTCGTGTGTGTGTGTAAAATAGTTACTCTTTAGCGACCTAGCATTTTTTATCCTTTCAGTAACCCACTGACAACATTTACCCAGAATTTCAAAACAAGCTTCAAATCAATATTGAAAGAGGGAAAAATATAAAGGCATTTAATGGAAGAAAATGTTGGGAGTAAAGTATAGGGCTAGCAACATGCATTTTTCCCACTTACCGACAGTACTTTTACTTGGGAATTTATGGGAAAGACATTATGATTGTTAACTGCTGGCAGTGGAACCATAGGCTTGGGAATAGACAAGCGTGGCTGAGTTCATAGTAGAATGGGGGGATGTAAATTCTGTCAGCTGTTTCCGCAGTAACCTGTAGAGTAAGCTGAAAATACATTTATTTATCAGAATCCCTGGAATGTTACTTTTGACATCAAGTCTCATAGTGTTTATATGAAGTGACTGGAAGGTCTGTAGACAGCTGGACATGTGTGGGACTGGAAGCCCAGGAATCTTGAGGTTCTTCCAGGTTATTCTTACATTTGTTCATTCTGAACATAGCATCTAACATATTTTAAGAAATGGAATAGGTACGTGGTATACATGGGGAACACAGCAGATAGGGTCCCTGTGCTCATTCTTACTGTCTTGTGGAGGTGACAAAAATAGTTTAAAATTTGTAGTACTTGTAAATATTAGAATGAATGTTATGAGAGAAATGAATAGCAAATAGCGGGAGGGGACTTGGCTAATTAGATGAGCAGGAAGGGGCCTCCTTGAAAAAGGGATGTTAAATGGGACTGCAGGATGAGAAGGAACCTATCTCTTGTCTGTATGAGAAGTCAGCGTTAAATGCTTTCCAGGTAGAGAAGAGGAACACCATGTTTTATGTCTTAGAACAGGGAGGGGTGTCCAGTCTTTTCGCTTTCCCGGGCCACATTGGAAGAATTGTCATGGGCTACACATAAAATACACTAATATAGCTGATGAGCTAAAACCAAAAAAACTGCAACAGAATCTCACAATGTTTTAAGAAAGCTACACATTTGTGCTGGGCTGCATTCAAAGCTGTCCTGGACCGTGTGGCCCATGGACTGCAGGTTGGACAAGCTTACCTTAGAAGGAAAGAGATCGTGGAGATCCAAGTGCGAAAGTCTGCATAAACAGAACTTAGTAAGTAACGAGGCGGACGGCCTGGTGTGAGACGACTTCAAGGTTAGGTAAGCATAGCCATAACATTCAGGACTTTCTAGGTTTCTGTAAGATATTTACTCTTCATGGAGTTTATTCATGCCTTATTCCTGCTTTGGAGTCATAGATACAGAATACTTTGGTCAGTTTGGAAGGCTAGGTGGGGTTCAAATTCTAAATGGTTCTTCAAGGTTACACTAAAGAATGTCTACTATCTCAAAAAGATGCTGAGACACTTTTGACAGTTGTTTATCAATGGCAAAGTACACAGTGATGTGTTTAAAATACTAATAGCAGCTTTGTATAAATTAACAGTTTGATTGACCAAAAGCTAGAAGATGAGACTGCTGAGATGTTACAGGTTTTTAGGCATGAAATAGTTTGGTTTTAGAGCTACATGGCAAAGGAGAAACGCCCAGGGCATGTGAAAGAATCATAGAATATAACAACAGGAGCTCAGGGAGCAACCAGCAGTGGTTTGTGGAGAGGACATTGGTGCCATGAAGATAAATGGAACCTCCTGAAGGCATTCTTAATTTAAGAAGCTGACTTAAAGTGACTTAAAAGGTCAGTACGTAGTTGGAAATGTATGAATGCAAGAGAGGCAGGCTAGAGATTGGCAATTTCCCTCTTAGTATATAGGGATAAGGGCAGCAGGGAAGGGGAGGTAGAGGTGCCCCAGGGTCATCTGCATGGGACTTTTTTTACCCTAGAACTGCAGAATGTGTGTGTTTTAAAAGTCTGTAGGCCATTCTGATGGACATCTCGGGTTAAAATCCATTCTTTTTAAAGTTAATGGTTGTATAAAGGGAGGGAATGAAGTCTTAATGAGGGAAAGAAGGTAGTCATTTCACAAATACTGAGCATCAGTCATATGCAGGTCATTCTATTAGCAGCTGGAGCTACTATGAGAAAGGAACACAATAGAGATGATCTTTGTCTTGTAGGGACAGTTGACTAACTTACAGTCATGATAAACACTATGAAGGAGAAGTTCAGGGTATCATAAGAATTACAGCAGATAGACCTCATCTGAAGAAATAAAACAGACCTCAAAGATGAAGAAGGAGATGAGGAAAAGCATCTCTTACCACATTCAGAAGTGATTTAAGTTGAAGATGGATGGGGAGAGTTCATCTAGTATGTGGGCATTGGGCTTCCATATATCCTCCTTTTCCAGAGTAAATGTCCCTCATTGAAGGGTCCTAAAGGATGGAAGGTTGCGAACCTTGGGAACACATGTTTTGTAGTCAGTGAATTGTATAAAGTCCCTGGCAGTAAGTGTTTCCATGCCGTCTTTCTGGATTCTTCTTACCCCAGGAACTTACCTAGCTTCTTCAGTCAGGTGTCATCTTCATGTGAGGTGACCTAATTACTTAAAATTGTAGCTGTACTCCATTGTTTTATTTTCCTCCATAGTGCTTTAATACCATCTGACATACTCCGTATTTCTTAATTGTATATTTGTTTGTCTGCCTCTTCAACTAAATCATAAATTCTGAGGATAGGAACTTTTGAATATTTTTGCTCACTGGTGCATCTCCAGTGCAGAACAGGACCTGGTACTGAATAAATATTTTCGAAATGACTGAATGGATGAAAAGAAATAAGAATAAGAAATAAGAACTATCCCTTAGGAGTATTACCTAAGGGGGACAGTGGAGATAACAAAGGCTTTTTCCGCTTAGGAAAGGAACAGTAGCTATTTGACAGTTTGTCACTAGTGAGGTAAACTGGCAAAGCGAGGGAAACTGAGCATCATTCTAGAAAATGGGAGGACATACAGCACTTAGGTGAAAGGAAAGTAACTCTGGAAATGAAGAAGGACACCTTCTAAGAGTAGAAAGATATTTAGGGTTGATAGGAACTTCTAGCGAATGACTATTGCTTTATATCCTTTTTAATTTTCCAGGTGGAATGCAAGCTTTAGGGCTTCACCTGACAGATCCAAGTCAACGTCTTGTTCAGAACTGTCTTTGGACTCTCAGGAATCTTTCAGATGCTGCAACTAAACAGGTAAACTCTGACTCAACTGGCACCGTGGGAATAGAGTCAAGATGAGTATGTACTTGTACTGACCATCTGATTCTATCTCCATAGGAAGGGATGGAAGGTCTCCTTGGGACTCTTGTTCAGCTTCTGGGTTCAGATGATATAAATGTGGTCACCTGTGCAGCTGGAATTCTTTCTAACCTCACTTGCAATAATTATAAGAACAAGATGATGGTCTGCCAAGTGGGTGGTATAGAGGCTCTTGTGCGTACTGTCCTTCGGGCTGGCGACAGGGAGGACATCACTGAGCCTGCCATCTGTGCCCTTCGCCATCTGACCAGCCGACACCAAGAAGCAGAGATGGCTCAGAATGCAGTTCGCCTTCACTATGGACTCCCAGTTGTGGTTAAGCTCCTACACCCACCATCCCACTGGCCTCTGATAAAGGTACATTGTCAAAGTAGAGTTTACCTTTGTTGCAGAACTGAAAATGAAGCACCTTTAGCTGTTAGATGGCTGTCCAACCATAGTGATCAAATAAATAGGAGTTGTATTCCTTAGTAAGTAGGAAGTATGGCTGCGATGGGGGGGGATTCTGAAATGTTTGTGTAGTCACAGCCCCCTTCAGTTGTTACCAGCAGACTTAGTGTGGTGGGAATTGTTGGCCAAGAAAATGATTTTGTTGAGTTGTATGCCAGTTCTTCCATCTGTTTTTCAGGCTACTGTTGGATTGATTCGAAATCTTGCCCTTTGTCCCGCGAATCATGCTCCTTTGCGTGAGCAGGGTGCCATTCCACGACTAGTCCAGTTGCTTGTTCGCGCACATCAGGACACCCAGCGCCGTACATCCATGGGTGGGACACAGCAGCAATTTGTGGTAGGTGATACCTGGCTATCTAAAAGGAGTGCATAAATCCAAAGGCTCCTGAACTTCTTTCGTTATTGGTCCCCCCATCCCTCTTCCTGAAGGGCTGCTAATGACCCCCCTCACTCAAAAAAACTGGCACATTTCTGTGGCTGCAGAGAAGATAAGGCATAGTGTGGCCCCAGTAATAGTTCCTTGGACACGTCCTCGACATGGTCAGTCTTAAAAAGGTGGGGTTACTGTGGGGTTAGGCGTTTCATGCAGTGTTCTCATTTAATCTACACAAAGGCCCACGTTTTTAAGAAGAGGTAGAGTCCAAGTCTAATTTCAGAGCTGCTTATCCCTTGCCTCATCATGAATTTTAACTATAAATATTTAGCAGTCTGTTTTATTTTTTCTGTGAGGGTTAAACTTTTTTCATAGACCGAAGAATCTAGTATTGATGTTATTTCAGAAATAAGTAGTACTATTTTTGGACTCTTACCCACAATAATCTCAGTCTCAAGCTTTGATACTAAGTTTGAGTCTTAAAAGTAGCATCATTAAAAGTATAAAGACACTTCTGATTTCTCAAGACTTTAAAACCTTACTTAATTAGGTTAGTTTAGAAAACAAAGATGTAGCCTACCAGCCATTGGGAATCTTGTTTTGCTGGTTGCTCTGCGGATGTTACTCACACTGGGCTTTCGCTTTCTTCATTTATTACTGTTTGTATTGGCCCATCTCCATGGGGTGACTTCATAGAATGTTGAGGGGCACTTTTTAAAATCTCTTTTCTAGGAAGAAAGGAGTTTTTGTATACTTGTAAGAACCAAATTATGTATAAAAGCTGCTAAATGTAGCAGAATCATAACCCCTTTTAAAACGCAAATACAGAAACAGGAGAAACAGATGGTACTTGCATATTGCAAACGCTAACTTCCTTCTCCTGTGCATGAGGCTGTCAGCTCAAGTGTCTTGGAAGAGTGAGGAGTGGATTTTCTGCTGGCAACTCTAGTTAGTTTTAGCAGTTGGTGCTAAAACTTGGCAAAGTTTTTACCAAATACATGGAAGATGTACAAAAATAGAGGAGGGATGTAAAAGAGAAACGTTGATTCAGTCTGAGCCTTACTTTCTCATCTTCTCTTTTTATATACCATTTACCCAGAGTAGTTGGTGCCCTCACTGTAGGAAAGTTGCCTTTTGGATTCAGCGCTGTATTGGAAGCTCCGTTGTACTGTGTATGGAGGGGGTGGGAGGTGCTAGTTGGAATTAGTGCTACCAGGAGGCCTCTTTTCAGTGACATTCAACTTAATGGAATCCTCCTTCATTCCTGAACTGATTGCAAGTTATGGGGAACTTCAGGTACATAATGTAAATAACTGTAGTCAAATAACTGTTTCTCAGCACGCAAAGCCTTTCAAGTTCAGAAACCTTACAGAGGGAGAATGCTCTACTTGTTAACCCTGTTTCTTCTGGTAGGAGGGAGTCCGCATGGAAGAAATAGTTGAAGGTTGTACTGGAGCCCTTCACATCCTAGCTCGGGATGTTCACAACCGAATTGTCATCAGAGGACTAAATACCATTCCATTGTTTGTGCAGGTATGTTGGTTTTAAGTGAAGTGTTCTATGTTTTGTGTCTATAAAATTTCCAGATTGTAATGATTAATAAAATTTCACAACATTAGGGACCAAAATAGGGACCAACATTTTAATTTTATGAAAATTCCCTTCATTGTTTTGGTTGGTAGGAGAAACATTGAGACCAGAGCCTCAAGCCGAGGGAGGAGACTTCACATTTCACTTTTACAGGCATCTAGTTTTAGATGGGGAGAGCTGGCCTGGGCTGCCAGGGGCATGGGCCCCAAACCAATTCTGGGGTTTTCCAAATCTCAGATGAATCAGAGTTGCCTCTGCAGAAAAGTTTCATAGCTAAAAAAGTATTTTAGAAATCTAATGCTCTAGAGCATTAAACGCCCTAGGACATAAAATTCAGAGAATATTATTTACAACACTGCGAGTGCCTCTTGCACTCCAAACTGGGAATGTTTGCACCACAGTGGGGTGCTTGCCATGTTTTTAGCTTTAGATTTAATTAGGTTTGTGTTTTCTCCTTAGCTGCTTTATTCTCCCATTGAAAATATCCAAAGAGTAGCTGCAGGGGTCCTCTGTGAACTTGCTCAGGACAAGGAAGCTGCAGAAGCTATTGAAGCTGAGGGAGCCACAGCTCCTCTGACAGAGTTACTTCACTCTAGGAATGAAGGTGTGGGTAAGTAAAAAGGAACCGAAGCTTTTAGCAGATGTGTACACTGAAGTCAGTTTTTCATCAAGAGCCTTTTCCTTGTTTCTCAGCGACGTATGCAGCTGCTGTTTTGTTCCGAATGTCTGAGGACAAGCCACAAGATTACAAGAAACGGCTTTCAGTTGAGCTGACCAGTTCTCTCTTCAGAACGGAGCCAATGGCTTGGAATGAGGTGGGGAAAGTGAGCAGTTATCTGGTGGTTTCCTAGGGCGGGAAAGGCAGCTTGTTCTTTCCTCTCAGAACACTTAGTGCACATTCACGTGCATTGACGGCTTCCCTGGCTGGAGTATTCTTCTCTATGCTGTCTAGCGACTGCTCTGAGGAAGAAATGTAATAGAAGCTTTTAAAGAGCCTATTCAGAATCCTTACAGACAAACTGTGCTCTTAAAATGACAGTTCCCAAGAAAGATGAAAAATGTTACCAGATTAAAGATTGTTCAGAAGGGTGTAAGGAAAGGGACAGGGTTAAACACTGTTAGAAGTCAGTTTATCCTGTCTCTACTAAAAATACAAAAAATTAGCTGGGCATGGTGGCACGTGCCTGTAATCCCAGCTACTCAGGAGGCTGAGGCAGGAGAATTGCCTGAACCCAGGAGGTGGAGGTTGCGGTGAGCCGAGATCACGCCATTGCCCTCCAGCCTGGGTAACAAGAGCGAAAATCCGTCTCAAAAAAAAAAATCCGTTTATCAGTATCTTTTACTAAACTTTAATGAAACTTTTTACTTGAATTTCTGCTATGGATCTGTCTTCAGTATTTGTCCTCCATAGGGGTGCTGACTGAAACATTGTTTCTAATAAAACCAGAACCACCTGGAAGTTTGTTTTATCCACTCTACAGTGATCAGTGATGGTACAAGTCCTAGTCATACAGTGGATTATATTTGTTGAGTGGAGAGAGATTGTTAGGTTTAAAACGATGCAGCTCTTAAGGCCAGGAGTTTTAAGACCAGCCTGGGCAACAGAGTAAAACCCCATCTCTACAAAAAACTTAAAAATTAGTTGTGTATGGAGATGGATACCTATAGTCCTAGCCACAGTGGAGGCTGGAGCAGAAGGATCTCTTGAACCCAGGGGTTAAGAGGCTGCCCTCAGTGACAGAGCCAGACTCCAACTCAAAAAAAAAAAAAATGCAGAGCAAATTACCAGTGACTAGTGTCACTTGGGTTTTTAATACATCTTATTAACATGTTCCTATATTATATATAATATATACTTGTTGAAATATCAAGTCAGTATTTTTAATATGAGGTGCAAAGAGAAAAAATGTATCTTTGAGGGGTGGAGTTTTGAAGAACTTCATTTTCTAAGCATGTCTGTAATGTTGGAGTTACTTGTTCCTTTTACAATCTGAAAGTATGCTTCAAAAAAAATGAGAGTGTACTTTTACTTTCTATTCTTCCTTGCCTTGTGCCTGTTTATCTAGACTGCTGATCTTGGACTTGATATTGGTGCCCAGGGAGAACCCCTTGGATATCGCCAGGATGGTATGTGCCTCATATTTCTTAACTCCAGATCAAGCTAAAGTTCTAAAACCTTATCAGAAGAGCCACTTTGCTCATCTGGGAAACCAGTGTTGGCAGAAAAGTAGTGGCTTCCATTAAAAGCAGTTCCTAAATTCCACAGTCAGCAACAGTATCTCTAATGGAGCACAGGGAATGCAGAGGCACACACTGAGCATCAGTAGGGCTACACCACCACCAGAGAAACGCTGCTGCCAGGCCTCTGCCATGCAGGGTGCTGCAGTTTACCTGGTTCTTCATTCTCTTTGGCCAGAGGACTCACAGTACCTTTGTCTACAGCCTACCCAAGGCAGAAAGGCTCCGATTGGGGTTGGGGGTTACATAGTTGCATTATCAGGGTTTTCTTGAAAAGTTAATTCAAATCTGGATAATGAACATGGAGGATGGGGTAGACCACTAACAACTATAACTACCTTGGATTTATAACCTCATCTGCTTCTACCTAATTATGAAACCACTAAAGTGCAGGATTCTTGCTGTGACAAATACATGTCAAGCCTGAGGTAAAATTTGTTGAGGTTTAATTGAAATGGTGCCTTGAGCTTTTTTAGGACTTTTGTGGGAGTCACTGATAGATTACACCTGCCAGACCTCAGTATTTATTGTCTTGATCCTCTTCCCATGACTTCTCACTGCCTAGGTGGTCACACACAATTAGATCATTGCTGTTCATCTTTGGGAACCCCAAGTCTGATGGGTAAATGCAGAGTGTTCAGGGTTAGGCTGACGGTGTGACTCGGCCCTGCTGGTGTGCTGCTCGCATAGTCTCATGGGTGGCCCAGCACTGAGTCATTACTTGGCTAAAGAAAGCTATAAGTTGAAAGAGACTAGAAAGCATTGTTTTCCAACAAGTTTGCTGCTAAACTTCGGATGCCCTAACCGCAGTGTTAACGTCTGTGTCTGTTTGTCTCCTCTCTCTGGCCTGTTTTGTTGCCACTCTGCTTCTTCTAGACCCTAGCTATCGTTCTTTTCACTCTGGTGGATATGGCCAGGATGCCTTGGGTATGGACCCCATGATGGAGCATGAGATGGGTGGCCACCACCCTGGTGCTGACTATCCCGTTGATGGGCTGCCAGATCTGGGGCATGCCCAGGACCTCATGGATGGGCTGCCTCCAGGTGACAGCAATCAGCTGGCCTGGTTTGATACTGACCTGTAAATCATCCTTTAGGTAAGAAGTTTTAAAAAGCCAGTTTGGGTGAAATACTTTTACTCTACCTACAGAACTTCAGAAAGACTTGGTTGGTAGGGTGGGAGTGGTTTAGGCTATTTGTAAATCTGCCACAAAAACAGGTATATACTTTGAAAGGAGATGTCTTGGAACATTGGAATGTTCTCAGATTTCTGGTTGTTATGTGATCATGTGTGGAAGTTATTAACTTTAATGTTTTTTGCCACAGCTTTTGCAACTTAATACTCAAATGAGTAACATTTGCTGTTTTAAACATTAATAGCAGCCTTTCTCTCTTTATACAGCTGTATTGTCTGAACTTGCATTGTGATTGGCCTGTAGAGTTGCTGAGAGGGCTCGAGGGGTGGGGCTGGTATCTCAGAAAGTGCCTGACACACTAACCAAGCTGAGTTTCCTATGGGAACAATTGAAGTAAACTTTTTGTTCTGGTCCTTTTTGGTCGAGGAGTAACAATACAAATGGATTTTGGGAGTGACTCAAGAAGTGAAGAATGCACAAGAATGGATCACAAGATGGAATTTATCAAACCCTAGCCTTGCTTGTTAAATTTTTTTTTTTAAACTATATCTGTAATGGTACTGACTTTGCTTGCTTTGAAGTAGCTTTTAATTTTTTTTTGGCAGTAACTTAGTTTTTTAAGTCTCTTGTAGTGTTAAGTTATAGTGAATACTGCTACAGCAATTTCTAATTTTTAAGAATTGAGTAATGGTGTAGAACACTAATTCATAATCACTCTAATTGTAATCTGAATAAAGTGTAACATTGTGTAGCCTTTTTGTATAAAATAGACAAATAGAAAATGGTCCAATTAGTTTCCTTTTTAATATGCTTAAAATAAGCAGGTGGATCTATTTCATGTTTTTGATCAAAAACTTTATTTGGGATATGTATGGGTAGGGTAAATCAGTAAGAGGTGTTATTTGGAACCTTGTTTTGGACAGTTTACCAGTTGCCTTTTATCCCAAAGTTGTTGTAACCTGCTGTGATATGATGCTTCAAGAGAAAATGCGGTTATAAAAAATGGTTCAGAATTAAACTTTTAATTCATTCAATTGTGTCACTTTTTTTTTTTCTTGTCATTAAATGGTTTGTGACAGTGGTTACTTGATCCAACTCAGCTCCATGCTGAGGAAGATACATAGTGAAGTAATTTGTTGTAGTGATAGAGAAGGCAGGCCCTCTCTAGGTGAGATTTGCCAAGTTTCTTTAGCATTTGGCCCTGCATTACATTGCACCCCCCAAAAAAGTGTTTCCACCTTGTACACTGATTAATTCTGGGCTTTTGTGAGAGAAAGCCAGACAGTGTCTATCCCAGTCCCCTTCAGATAATATTTCATTATTACCTAAATGGAACGAAACTACCTGGGTTTGGACTTCAAGCACCTTCACACGAGTGTGACTCACTGGGAGAGGGGAATTCCTTTAGCTCCACTTTGAACTAATAAATAGGTTTAAGTGTTGACATTTATCTGAACATAAACAGAACTAGAATGAGCCTTTCACGCTATCTGCCAGATGGTCCTATCATCCCAGTGGTAGGTCTGACAAGCTTAGTTCATCTCATCTCTTCAAGTAGACCTGTTAAGACCTGTGTTTGGGCTTTTAAAATGTGAAAGTGTTTTGTCTTTAGGGAGAGCTGTTTGATTTACTGTTTTTGATACATTCAGTTCCTTTTTGTTAAAAAATCAGCTTCATCAGAGGAGGACTTTTTGTGACTGCCCTCAGTTTTCAAAAGTAAGTGCTTCATTGTGGTCTAAAATGTAATTAATTAGGGTTTGAAATTAAACATTCACATAGCTGACGAGGTGGTGGGTCTCAGGTTCTGTCTCAGGTGTAATAAACCAAACCAACCAGTATTTCAGGAAGCCTAGAGCTGTTGGGAGGTTAACACAGTGAAGCTCTTTAGTGAATTCAGCTTTTAACATAAAGAGCCATTGCAGGGTGTTTAAAGAACTTTTTAAAAGCAGAAAACATTTTCAGAGCTTTGCTAATTCATTGTATTTTTGAAGTTTAAAAACTTACTGTGCGAGTTGATCCAGTTCAGCAAGGTGGTTCTGGAATTTACTTAAAAGTACTAAAGGTGAATAATAGCCAAGACGCTTAGGAAAAACAGGAGTATTTGCTGCTCCAGCAGCTGTCAATGCCTATAAACTTAATACAAAACTCAAGGTAGGTAACCCTGTTAGAGGAATAGGGATAGAAATAATAGAGATTAATACAGAGTAATACATAGGCACCTAAAGACTTCAGAGACAGCACTGGAGATCAGTGTGGGAAGAGTGACTTTCTCATAAAGATGTGAAACAGCCACTGGAATAAGACAAACCAATACAGAAAAACATCCATGACCAGCAGAAGATTTTAAATAAAGGCAGTATTACTGATTTTTCTTTTGCCTCAACCTCCAGTAAAGCTTGGTAGGGCACAATATGACCATCTACACTGGACACCCATGTGTCCAGCAGTCTGTTCACCCAAGAGACATCGCAGTAAAAAACGACAGCTTCAAACAGTGATGTGTCAGTATGGTACGCGAATCTCTCAAACATAATACTCAACAAAAGCAAGTCACAGACGCGCGCTTTCGGACTCCATTGAGTCACCGATTCAAAAGGAGGGACAAGCTATTTTAGGGAAAATATCCACAGACAAAAGCAAGGAGATGATGAGACGACTAGCAATCACAACAATGGTTACCTGAAAAGCGAGGTGAGGATGCTGGCAAGGCGCCCACCGTTCCTCTTCGTGGTGGGGAAGATGGTGAGGTCGAGTTTGTAGTACTAGAAGTGGTGAGGAGGAAAAGGCAAGGCCTAAATGGAATGCTGCCTACCTGCATTTCCAGGTGCAGGACGTGAAAATGACAAGATGAACATGGTCGTTGAGAAGAGCAGGGCTTCCCAGCGTGAGTTTTCTTTATTCACTTGTGCTGTAGTTACGAGACAGCCTGGGGAATTAAGACATTTGGTCCCATTGCGGCGACCACTATTGAACTAAAGAAGGAAGCTTTTCTATGGTGGAGCAGATGTTAAGCTGTGGGGCTTTGAAATCTGATGATCTGAATCCTTAACAATGAAAGATCTTCACACTCTTAACTCTTGGTTGCTATAAGAAAAAGATGTGAATTGTGCTGTTTTGTTTATAAAGTGAAGAATGCTGAGTTGATCTGCAGTTCTATTAAGTGAGAACCAGCCTTTCCTTGTCTTAAGCAGATCACTCACCGAAGCGCAATTATGAAATGAAGGGGGCCGCAGGGGCTGGCAGGGGCTGGCAGGGCCGTTCTCCCTTTTTCCGTATATAGAAGCCTCGTTCACGGAATTCTGTATCATGTTCATTCCACCACTTGAGACTGCAGTAAGCACAGAGCGAGGTGACAGGCTTCAGAGTTCAGGTTGTGGGAGAAGGTCAGAGCTCAGAACAGGAACGGGTATGCAGGAAGGCAAAGGAGAAACCCTATCCCTGTGCATTTCCAAGGTAGGTTTTGGCATCAGCAGGGAAATGCCTGTGTGTCCATTAACGTAATTTCCATGATAGACTGAGAGCCACTGTGTGACAAGGCAGTTCTCGGAAGTATCTGAAGTATATTCACAAGTATGTACAAGGAATTCATTGTGGCCCTAATCAGAGATGGCAACCCAAACACCTACCAAAAGGGGACTAACCACCAAGCAAATTTTGATGCATCTATTTGGTGGACCACACTGCAGTCAAAAGGGAGAAACTGCTCAGCACATAAAGCTTTGTTTTGGTATAAAATGGTCTTCAAAATACTTTATTAAGAGAAAAAGCAAGGGGCAGAGTATACAGCTGCTGACATATGGGTAAAAATGGGTGGGTGCAGAATCTTTCTGTGAGACATAACATAGACCATCCCTGGATACATATCAAAGACCCTGGTGGCGGCCAGGCGCGGTGGCTCAAGCCTGTAATCCCAGCACTTTGGGAGGCCGAGGCGGGTGGATCATGAGGTCAAGAGATCGAGACCATCTTGGTCAACACGGTGAAACCCCGTCTCTACTAAAAATACAAAAAAAAAAAATTAGCTGGGCACGGTGGCGCGTGCCTGTAATCCCAGCTACTCGGGAGGCTGAGGCGGGAGAATTGCCTGATCCCAGGAGGCGGAGGTTGCGGTGAGCCGAGATCGTGCCATTGCACTCCAGCCTGGGTCACAAGAGCGAAACTCCGTCTCAAAAAAATAAATAAATAAAAGACCCTGGTGGCACTGGGCACCTTGCAGGAGGAGACAGAGTGACAGAGAGGCTCTGCCATCTTTCAGGTGTTTTCACCAGGCTTCTGGATTGAATAGTACCATTCAAGTGTAATTATTAATCAAAACACCTAATGAATACATTTGTCCACCGCCTCAACATCACCAAGCCTCTGCTGGGGGAGACCAGAGGCCGGATTTTAAGGGCCAGTTCAAAAGTCCTTGTTCTAGGCCCAGCTTCTTGCTCCCACACACCCCTTCTCAACCCCACCGAAGCTTGAGGCCAAGGCTGCCTAGCTTTGCCTGGTCCCCCCAGCCCCACTCCAGACACTCTCCCACGAGGCCAAGCCTTTCTTGTAGCCTCTTCTCTCCTTTCCTACTAATTGCTACCTTAGCCCCTGTATGTGTTAAGATTTATTCCTACATTGCGTTTTTCTGTTGCCAGGGAAAAAGGGCATCTGCATCAATTGGAGGCAGGAGAGACCAGGGGAGGGAGATTGCTTTCTCATCGCCTGGTCTTAGAGCCTTCGCCACCAGAGCCCCCATTTTCTATCTGGAACACAGGAATGATGGCTGCCCTGTGTTGACAGAACCGACCTGAGAACCTCATTAGCTCATAGGACAAACATGAAAAGAGAAACTGCAAAGAACCGTAAGACTACGTTCTGTTGCTACATTCCACTGGCTCACCTCCTTACACGCCGCGAGTGATGGTCAGCAGCTCTCAGGACACCTGTGAGCAGAGTTACTCCAAATGGTGCTGCACGGTGGGACAGCTCCGTGGGTATCCACACTTGGCTGTAAGTGAAGGCAAAGTCTTGGAACTTTGGATCCGCTGTTAGTGGAGGGAGAGGAGGAAGCCCTGTGTGCAGCCACTCAACTGGGCCTCCTGTGCCCTACTGCTTGTCACCTCCTTTGTCTCTCAACTCTGTGACTTAGTGACACCATCCATCCTTGAAGAGAGCCAGTGCGTAGCAGCCAGTTAGCAGAGAGCCAAGTTTGGTGATGGAAGGGAGGAGAGGGCTAGTAGGTGCCTAGGCCTGGGCCCCTTGCCACTGCCAGAATCCTAAGAGCTGAGGGGTCAGGGACCAGCTCTGCTCTCAGAATGGAGCCACTTAGGAATGTCAAATAGTAAGGTACAGGTCAAGGCGGGGAGCAGGTGGGGACAAGGAAGGGTTACTGCTCTAAGCCGCCCTCTGCGCAGCCGGGCTGCTCATACCCTGACCTCGGAACTCAAAGGGACCTGGGCTGGTGCTTTCCATAGGCACCTTCCTCTAGGACGCAGCCTCACCAGAGTACAAGGCTTGGCATGGACTAGCTTCAGTGACCCGACGCCTTCGGCAGGGCAGTGGCTCTGCTTTCGACCATCATCTCCTTGTCCTCACCTACCCAGATAAGCTTTTCCCCAAATGCAACACGGGGGCTGAGGGCCAGGAGTGGTCCACTGAACAGAATGGTTCTGGAATAGTGAAAGTTTCCTGTCCTATGTTAAACAGCAGACTCTTCCTTGCTCAAGTGAAAAGGGGGAAGAAGGAAGAAGAATCTTCCCTTGCTCTGAAATACCTTGAGAGGACTCCAGACCCAGAACCCCAGGGAAGTTCCCGCAAGAACTAAAGAAGGGAGAAGGCAAAGAAAACAGACCTGAACCTGTTCCTGCATCCAGCAGGCAACATCACTGGGGCTGAGGACCAAGTGTCTGGCTGCTCCATCAGCTACTCCCCGCTCACTCGAAGGCAAGTCCAGCCAGGCCAGGGCCACGTGGGCGCAGACAGCTGGAGATGAGCAGACTGCCGGGGAGGACTTACACAGTGAAGCCTGCTCACCACGGGCAGCGAGTAGGCTCTGCGC